GCCCCGGCGAGGGCTCGGCAGGGCTTCCCGCCGGCCGGGCACCGGCACGGGCAGCGGGACCTCGCCGTCCCGCTCCCGGGGCTCTCCCGCCGGGCATGGGGGGCTGGCTGCTCGGAGACTTCGAGGCGGTGCTGGCCGGCAGGCGGGCGCGCTCGCTCCGGCCTGGAAAGAACCGGGGCACCGTGGAGAAGGGGCCCCGGTGGCCGGCCTGGGACCGAACCCTTCGCCTAAATGCCCTGTCGAGACACCGACCAGAACTTCGCTCGGGAGTCCTCTTCCTGCCTGCTTGTTAGTTGTACTAATGGACTTTGGTTTGTTCGTTCTAGTTTCGCAACCAGTATGACAACGATGTCACGGTTTGGAGCCCGCAGGTAAAATAACTTTGTACGCTTGCTAACTGGCTCTTGACCTGCTTTTTGGTCTTCCTTCACTCTGGCAGCAGCGGTATCACGGCAGCGTAGACTGTATTCAGGTGCCTAAAGCTTACCCCTGTCTGCTCCCTTCTTGTTTTGTAGCCTGTAGGTTTCTAGAAAGCCATTAGCACGTCTCTAAGCTTCTGGTGTATGAACCTGAGTGGTGCTTAGGTGGGCCTTGTTACCTCAAAGTACTTTCATTCCAAGTTGCTTTCTGAATGTACCTGCGAGGTGCGAAGTAGATGCTGTCGCCCTTGGGGGTTGGACTAGATGATCTTTAAAGGTCCCTTCCAACCCAAACCATTCTATCATCGATTTACAGACCTATAATAAAAAGTAAGGTATGGAAATCCATGAAAACGAGCTTAAATCTCCCCAATGTTAGGCTACTGCTAGGTCACTCTCTCTTTTATTCACTAGCAAATGTTGGAAAGGAACTATTTGGTTTACAGTTGGGAAGAACTTTTTTTAATTAGGAGCTCTACTGTGTTCAAATTGTTCAGAACAAAATCAAATTATTAAAAGTTATTATTTAGTGCTTAAGTGAGAATATGCTGACTTCTTCAAGTATGTGTGTACAAAAAGAGAAACAGGCGCTGTTATGCCATACTTGAAGACAACCTTGAATATTTGGATATTCTTTAGTCAATACCATGATAGCTGTGGATGGCTTTGAACTGTTCTCATCCTTCTTAATGATTGTGTTTCTCTGGAGGACTCTGTATCAGGACCTTTAATTTTAAAAATTTTAATTTATCTGTTACTTCAAAAATTACTTTTAAGACTACAACATTCTCTTGAGACTTTTAGTAGATAATGTGAAGTCATCAACAGCGCTGTTTTCTTTTTTTTTTCATAAATTGCCTTGAAAATATGAATAGTGCTGATGTCTTTTATAAAAAAGGCATTTAAAGTAGCTACTGTGCTGCAGTTAGCACTCCATACGTTCCTGTAGGTGAGGCAGTGATATAATACCATAATAATTCTTGGCATTGTTAATATAGGAGCAAAGAGTAATCATATTTTATTGGGGCATGTTTTCCAATATTGTTGTAAAGGAAAGGAAATACAAGATTAAAGGCTAGAAAGGGTTTCACACTTTTACAGCCTTGCAAGTCATTCATGAAAGTTGATAAAAGCATGTTGGAGAGGTCACAGTGATTCCATACTGCTCTTGGGCAGGAAATATCCTATGTTAGTGAAATTCCATTTATAACTTAGTCGATGGAATGGAACATTAGGGTATTTTATGCATCTAGTGGACTTTGCATTTCTCTAGATAAATCAAATCAAAAACCTTTTAGCAGAAAAACCCCCAACAACCTAATAGAAGGTGATTTCCTGTAGATTATCCCCAGTACATTTCACTGTAACAGCTACTACGTTCCACTCCATCACAACTGGTAGGATGCAACTGTATGCCTGAGTTAGGAATTCCAGTATTTGCACAGTAGCAGTGAACTGACTGTGAATGCTGACTACTTGACATAAGCTGGCCAGGTAGAGTGCAGAAAATTAGCTACTTTGCCCTCAGTGGTTGCATGAAAAGGATGTTGTCTCATTTTCCTGTAAAGCTCCTGGCCGCCTTTGCACAACATGTGGGGACTTAATTGTCTTTGAGACCTTTACTCCTCTTTCAGACTTTACTGCAGTTGACTAAATAACTTGTTCAGAAGTTATTAGGGGATGGATGGTGAGGCACAACAATTGCATAAGACTCATTTCTTCAGGAAACTCGATTAAAAGTTAAGTGTCCAACTTCAGCTAGAAGTTCTGTCTTTGAATTACATTGGGTCAAATACCGATTCCTCTGAAGACAGTGACAAAAGTCTTGTGATTCTTATAATGTCAAGATTATTCACCCTTTCTTTTTAGTTTTCCTGTTTCTTTGTATGCAGTAGTGAGTGGCTCAGAGATGGATGGATTTTTGTGGGTTAATGGTGAGGTGTTTGCAGAGGATAATTGAGGAATTCTATCGGTTGTAGGTTTAAACTGTTAGGCAGTAAGTGTACCGATTGGGGTGGGGGACTCAGAAGGTCTGAAAATCAAAAACAATTGAAAATTGATACAGAGGATTAACTTTAGAATGGTTACTTTTGATTTTATTCTGTAGGGCCGAATTCATCAAATAGAATATGCCATGGAAGCTGTGAAACAAGGCTCAGCTACTGTGGGGCTGAAGTCGAAAACGCATGCTGTTCTGGTTGCTCTCAAGGTAAATTCAAAACTGTGTTCTTGGGACAATAATGTTAGTAGAAAAATTTTAGTTTGGCAAATTAGTTTTGCGCAGTCTAAACTTTTGTGTGTAATGTAAATGCAATCCCAGTTTTGTTTTGCTTGAGTACCAGTATAGAGCTGTAAATATTTTCAGTACCTATATAAAGCAGATTTTCACAAAATGGTGAAGGAAATGAGTGAAAGATCTTTTCTTTCCCCTTTAAAAGATGTGTTTGGGTTTTTTGTTTGTTTTTCATCAGTTATTAAGGAGTAAAACTATTTATTTCTTTTCCCAAAGCTTGAGTGAGTGTCTGTTCTTTTTTTTTGTTCTGATAGTTTCCTACTGAAGTGGAATTAGGTTTTTCTTGTCTTCTGTTGCAAGTTTATAAATATTTTTTCTTGTTGTTTCATGATCATATTCAGTTCTTGCTATAAATGTTAGCAGATTTCTCCACGGTGCTTGGCAAACTGTTCGGTTTCCCACATAGCTTTCTCCTTTTATGCATAGAGAGCACAGTCTGAGCTGGCAGCTCATCAGAAAAAAATCCTGTACGTTGACAACCATATTGGTATCTCAATTGCTGGACTTACTGCTGATGCAAGACTCTTGTGGTGAGTATCTTAGTTGTTGACATACACAGTTCTGCAATAATGAGTGAAAGGTCATTTGTAGACTCTTGCGAATGAAATTTTCTGGTCAGCTAAGGACTAGTCTTGAGTTACTGCTCTGTTGTACTATGCCAAAGACCTCAGCATGAAATTCTGGCAGATTTTTAACTAGTTGGCAGAAATCTCATTTGTTTGGCCCAAAATTTTGCTCTTTGGTTTTGTTACTAGCAAGACAGTCCTGTCTGGTTTCCTCAGTGTGATGGGGTTTCCAAGCAGCCAGAGAAAGTGCAGCACTTATTTCCCTCTAGCAGCTGCTTCTTTGTACACACATTTAAGAAACTTACTAAAAATACACACTGCTGTATGTGTTGGCTTCAGAGGGGCTTGCTTTTTACCTGCTGGCCGCGTAGTTTCATCAGTTGAGGTAAATGTACACAGAAGGAGGAGTGTTCCTCAGTTTGATAGGAAAGGAAAAAGAAGGCAGAGGAAGAATTGCTAAAATAAATTTTAATTCCTGTAATGTTACAAAGAAATGTTACCATTTAATGGTGGCTTTTTTCCAGATGATCCATCTGTTGCCTGCATGAACTTCTACCTTCTTTGCATTTGTATGGCTGAAATGCTATAATACTCTTTCAAACCTGTGGTCAGCTTTCTAAATAACAATTATAGGTCATGATGAAATTAAATTATGTAATGCCTTTGACCCTTTTTCTCAACAGGCAGAGCTGAAACAAAAGTTCTTAGCTTAACAGACAAGTATTGAGACAAAAACTCATTGTGACTTTGATCTATGCATTGGTTTGATTTTTTTTTCTTCTCTTTTTTTTTTTTTTTTTTCTTTTTTCCTCCTAGCAATTTCATGCGTCAGGAGTGTCTGGATTCTAGATTTGTGTTTGATAGACCTCTTCCAGTTTCTCGCCTGGTGTCACTAATTGGAAGCAGTATCCTTTTTTTTTTACTTCTAACACTTTTATATTTTTTTACTTGTTCATACTTGTTCATAAAATGATCACAGCTTAAAAGTCATATTAAATTGAAAAAGTTAATTTTTCTTTATTCACATTGCTTGTGTATTCTTTCAGAGAATATCCCGTAACATGCACTAAACTGGTAGAGAAGCAATAAAGTGCTATGCAACCTTTAACATGGCACTGTTTTTCTGTTACACAGCCTTATGCCTTTGGAGGTGGGGGAGGAAAAATGACTGCACTATTCAAAATATGATAACTTACTGGATTGTAGCTGCTCGCTCAGTTTTGGTTTTTTTTTTTTCTTCCTCTGGCAACTTCTATCTCTGCGTGGAACACAGCGGAGGGCTTGTATTCTGTTATCAGGTGCCTGGAAAAAGTTCAAAGGGCTAGGAAAATAAATGATGCTGTGCAGCGTTAGGTGAACTGTTTGTATAGTTGGTTGAATGCACCCTTCAGTTATTTCAGGAAAGCTAATGGCTAAATTTTCTTTTGGTGAAAAAGAAGTTGGTATTCCAAGTAAGCCATGAAATCTGTTTTCCAAGTAAGCTGTGTAATCCTTTTCATTTGAACGTAGTCTTCACTCTTGCAGAAAGGTTTACAAAGACTATATAATGATTTTGGTGCATCTTTGCTTGGCTTAGGAAAACATTTTGGGTAATTAACATGTTATTTTGAGATTGTTTCCTTAGCTTACTTAAGAAACCCAGATACCAACACAGCGTTATGGCAGAAGACCGTATGGCGTAGGACTGCTCATTGCAGGTTACGATGTAAGCAAGCTGCACTAGTCACTATTGATCTAAAAGAAAATGTGCTTAATGCAATTTTATACAATAAATAGATGTTAAGAGGGGAATATGGAAGAAGTGAACTCATCAAAATTCTCTGAATAAGGAAATTATTTTCTGTATCTTACCTTAAAACATAACTTTAAAAAATGTTATTTAATAGCTTATGAAGTGTACCTTTGCAAAAATGAAAACCTAATTATTTTAAGGTGCAAAATGAGATACTGCAAAAATTAGATTTGTTTGTGTTTTAAGGGATCAAAATGTTGATCCCACGATGACAGTAATTATTTTACTATTGATTATGGAGCTCTACAAACTATTATTTTAAATACTTTTTGTAAAAAAAATGGATGTGGAAATCATCACTGGCCTCTCTTACTTGTTTAGCAGCAACAGTCTGCTTAATGCAGCACACACAGAATGTCTGCCCTCAGAAGTTTTGACATGAGGAAGGTTGAAGGAAATTGTCTTGCCTGAAATCTTGCATGGCATGGCTAAGTCTACAGCAGGTTTTTACTTCTGTGCAGATAAGGTGGAATGTGTGTAAAATATCTACTGTGAGCTATGAAGTAGGAAGCGTACATGAGCACAGTACAGTTTATGGAACAGAGAAAGAAACACTTTTGGTGCTAGCTATCCTGCCCACATAAAAACTGCATTTAAATGAACAAAGTGTAAATAAAGATTTTTTTATTATTATTACTGTTTGGGTTTTTTTACAGTAGTTTTGAAGGAATTGTATAAGAACAGTGATATGACAAGCAATATAAAATACATTTATGTGCATACATAGAAGCTATGAGATGTACCATGAAACAAAACTGTTTTAGAAAATATCACGTGTTCCAGAAGCAGACTTGGTATGAATTTATACATTTGTTTTACATTCTGTGGGATTTTTTTCTCTCTTTGTAGGATATGGGTCCTCACATCTTCCAGACTTGTCCCTCTGCAAACTATTTTGACTGCAAAGCAATGTCCATTGGTGCTCGTTCGCAGTCAGCACGAACTTATTTGGAGAGACATATGACTGAATTTACTGACTGTGAGTAATGAAACTCTGTCTAATGGTATTCATCAATTATTCAGTTTATTTTCTGCTACTGCTCTATTCTTTTGCATTTAGCAAGGTAGGAAGATAAATTTGGGGAGCCAAGTTTGGCATAAGTGTAAATCTGCATGAAGACAAAAATTGTAAGGAAAGTATTACAAATCTTCATGTCTAACATCTGGGTGCTTATTACATCTAATGAAAAGAGAATTTGTGCTCAGAAAAGCAGAGGAAAAAAAAAAGGCCTCTGCCCTGTTTAAAACGGGGAAAGAACAGTTCTGTCCATATCAGAGAGCGATAGTATGTCAGGGCAAGTATTTTACGTGGTGCACTTAAAATGGTGAATTTATTTTTACGTGAAACAGTCATGAGGAAGCTACTAAAAGGCTTCTTGGGCAAAAAAAATAGTGTGATTATTACTGCACTGGAGGCAGGGCAGGTGCCAAAACCAGATGCATTTGACCTCAAATGTAGGGAAGGGCTGGTTTCTTAAGGTATACCTTTATAACCAACTCTGTGATCAGTACCAGGAGTACCTAAAGAGAGCAGTTCTATAAGTCAAGCTAGCCAAAGTGGTTTTCGAGTTGTCAGCTGGAGTGGGAAGGAGGGGAAATGAGTGTCTAGATATAATACCATATATTTAGTAAATGTCTTTCTGGTTTTATTTTAAGGTAATCTAAATGAGCTAGTTAAACATGGACTACGTGCCCTGAGAGAGACTCTTCCTGCCGAACAGGATCTGACCACCAAGGTAAATACAAGGTTTTGCTAACAAGAAATTTTACTGCCATTGTTATTATTTTTTACCATGAAAAAGATTTTGTAGGGTGTGGCTGGCACTGAAATTTGGAAGCTGAACAATGGTTGATCGTATCATCTTCATTTCATATGTCACCATTTTATCTATAGTTTCCTTAATTATCTCAGATTTAATTTTCTTTAAAAAAATTGTACCTTCTTTAAATAAGACATTGTTTCCCTGGTTGCTTCATTCTATTTTAGACTTTGATCAGTGTTTAAGTTACATTACATGCAACTAGAATCACAGCTTTGCATTGTAACCACAGGCAGTAGTTCACCCAGGAGGTGAGGGAAGGTAATGCACAAACAGTTGATTGAGTATCTACAGCAGCAAAAAGTTGCAGAAACTTCTGACAATGAATTGAGGAGCCATTGAACAAGAAAATTCTAGGGATATCCACTAGTTGGTGTTCTGCTTGTGGCTGATCTGCCATTTTCCATGTTTAATTTTTTTCTTCTTAGCTCACCCTGGTTTTTAGAACTCTTAAAATAATGAAAATGCAAAATAAGATTAAAATAAGTGGTTTTGAAAAATCATGTATGTTATTAAAAAGAAAACAAAAAAATGGAAAGAAATTGAAATACTTGAAAAGTAGTTTTACTTACAAGATTTTGAAACATGATAGCTTTTGTGGGGAGTAAATCTGCCTACCTTTCCTTTTTTAGTACAATCTACCAAAGAGGAGTCTCAAAATTTCCTTTTTTCGTTAAGTAGACACAAACAGCAAAATGAGTCTCTTTGTCATGGGAGGAAACTTTCATCTGTTTCACAGGCGAAAGCTATAAAGCCACAGAGTTAGTAGCAGAAAAATGCTTCTCACTTCTTTCAAAACTTTGCTTAACAGAATGTTTCCATTGGAATTGTTGGCAAAGACATGGAGTTTACCATCTATGACGATGATGACGTAGCACCATTCCTAGAAGGTCTTGAGGAGAGACCACAGAGAAAGGTATGTGTTTTAGATATAAATAAATAGGCTTTGCTGAAAGACAATGTTACGTGATGAATGACCTATCACATTTGTGTTCACAACATTTAACACTGTACTATTTTAGTAGAGTTTTAGGAACGTGATTTTAAAATCTGAAGTTACTACGTGAAAACCATATAATCTTAGCCACAGACTAAGATGCTTATTAAATCAGTTTATGCTGAACTGGTGATGGGCCTTCCAAAGTCATCTTTCCTTATCTATGATCAAGTACATGTTTCATTTTTTTGCAACTGAAGTGGCTACATGTTTCTCATGCCTGCCCCAGGATGCCTCCTTAGTCTCCTGGTTACCAGCTCTGTCCTGCTCCATGCTTAATTTGCATAATGCTACTTTGTAAGCTGTTTGCTGACATGAGCTGCATTAGTGATGCTCAATCCAGGATAAAGCTGATTCGTCACTTGTTGTTTTTTGCCCTTCTATAATATATATTTTTTTTCTCTCTTTAAGCCTGCTCCGCCTGCTGATGAACCTGCAGAAAAAGCAGAGGAGCCCATGGAGCACTAGTTGGTGGATGAGTTCCTCTGTGTTAATGTATGTCTAATTATACAGGAACGTTTATCCATTTGCTGGTAACTTTACCCTCACCTATATGCGTTTTCTGCTGATACATTCTGAGGATTACTCTTAAAAAAGAAAGAAACCAACCCACCTATCCTTAAAAGATAGACAGGAGGTCATAACTGGGTGTATTTTCTTTGACAAGAAAGGTGTAATCATTTTCTAAATAGTACATGATACTGTTTTTTAATGAAAAGCATACTGTCTTTAACTTGTAAGGACAAGTGGAAATAAATCACTTTCTTGGAATCTGCTGTGGGTTTGGTTTTTTTAATCTGAACAAACACCTGTTCAAATACTTCTGTCATATCAAGGTGCCAGCATGTGTTTGACCATTTGTCAATGTGAGCTTTTACTTATGGTATATAAACATGGTGCTCTTGGAAAGCGCTGAACTGAGAGGACTTTAACATGCCTACAAAACTACAACACAGCTGTGGAACAAATAGGATGCAGCGTGTTTCCCCATGTTGTCTAATCATTGTCTCAAACTCAGCTTGAAAAGACATCATTTCTGGTTATGAGTGTTTACCAGAAACATCATACGCTGAATAAGCGTGAAGCTGTCAACCAGCTTGTGTTTTGGTTTTTTGAGTCCTCTGCTTTAGTAAACCCCAGCTCCTGTGGAACCGGAATGAATCACTTTCTTCCTTTAGAGCCATCAGCCGGCTGTGGGGTAGCGAAGGGCTTTTAGCTGACTGATGGTCTAAATTGAAGTAACGAGGGAAGCATGTAACATTCCTATTACAGGTCCCCTGAGCTATGGAGTCTCTGCATTGCTGCTGAACAAACAGGCTCTCCGGGCTTTGGTCCCGGCAGGTTGTTCTGCACACTCTGACTGAGGGGTGCCTCGTGCCCAACGGGATTCAGGCTGACTGCCGCAAAATTGGAGACCAACAGCGACTTCTGTAGGGATGTCTGGGAGGGAAGCCTGGTGAGTCGGTGCTTCCCAGGTGCAAAATGGGTGTGATGCTGTATTTTAAGCAAAATGAGTTCAGCATTATATTTTTCATTTTCCATGTTGGATCATTCTGTTTAATTGTTGTCACTAATGAATACATTGCAAAGGACAAGAAACTAATTTTTGTGGTGGACTCAGATAGCGGCTTGATACCCTGCTCAATGTACTTTAAAAAAGGCCTAAAACTTGAATCTTGTATTTATTAATAAATAAAGCATGGTGCTGTTTTGAACAGGCTTTAAATGCTGTATTGACTCCGTGTAAATAGTTCAGTCATGGAAGTATCAAAATAATATCAACAGGGCTGTGTATTTGGTTTTAAGCACTAGATCTGCTGGTTTTAATTTCTTCTATTTTTTCTATTCTAGTATCATTTTCTCCCTATTCATTTTCCATTTAATTTTTTTCCCCTATTCTTTTTCTATTTATTTACCCCCTCCCTTTGTTTATTTACTTATTTATTTGGGGGGTGTATTTTCTTCCTATCACTATTTTTACGGCAGCTGTTCCCAGGGTTCCTGAGCCCACCCTCCCGCCTGCGCGGGAAAAACCCGCCCCGCCGCAGCGCTGACGTTGCTTCTCACGGGGCCGTGACGTCAGAGGCGGAAGCCCCTCCCCCCGCCCTCGTGGCGGTCCGGCGCGCAGCCTTTCCCCGCCCGCAACGGCAACGCGAAAGGGGCGGGGCCGC